GGGATCCAATAATTCAAAGGCTTATTTGGATATCCAATAAGACAAGGGCTCCGTTAGATATCTTATATCCGAATCTCTACTCATCGCAATGCCTACCATATGTGTGTGACACTCTAGGTCAAATATCGAGCTGGCCGTGAGTCATACCTATCAGAACTTCTTCTAACTCAGTGAATTATTATCTCTGTAATAATTCACTTGACTCATCGACTACGGACGTACTAGGCCACTACGCCATAGTCCCCAGACGATACAGGGGAATCCAATCCATTGGACCTGTCTGACCTTAGTTACCATGTACCTATAGTCCCTCATCCATCTAATATCCCAGAGATCATATATCGAGCATGGTGATGTCAGACCCATAAGGTTTCTACTCGAGTCTTGCTCTAATCGGATTCTCCCGGAGAACTCTTTCTCTCTCAACCCGAATGACCCTAGCTAGGGATTTGTCTGAGCAAGAACACATGGGATATTCCTCTCATGACGTCGAGAGTGGATGATCCTCTATTGACACTCAATAGCCCTCGTAAGGTCGACTACCACTCCCAATGACCAGCTGTACTAGATCTGGGACAATCAAACCTATAAGTCTGTTATCAAAGAGTGGAGCACTCATACAGGACATCCTTGGTGTCTCAAGTCTAAGGACCAGATATACCACTAGGACTACGGAATCGCTGTCTGACAATAAGGCATCATCAACCATCCAGCATTTCGTAAGCGGATCAATCAGTGAACTCATTCTCCAATAAGCACCTGTATTGTATCCCTAGTGTCCTTACACGAGCAACTATGAGACCAGCTGCATCCATCATATGGACGGGTATACAGCAGTCTGTCCGGTTATCACGATGTCCCTCTCGAGTAACCTATGACCGGGATTATTTAGGATATGTGTTTAAAGGTGAATCAATCTCATTTTCGTGATCTCATCACGATCCGTTTCCCATTGCACAAATCTAAGGATATCACAATATATATATACATATATGCAATAGTTATAAAGTGATATATGCCAAAATATAATAAGTAAAAAGATTCTGTATCAAGTCACACGTGTCATCACTCACGTGATTGGCTTGTTGGGCACCTATGACTAGCAGGAGTCTTGAGTTGGAATCCTATTAGGAGTTGGGGTTTAGAAGCCCTATAAATAGTCATGTATTCATCCTCTTTTGACAAGCAATATATAATTCTTCTTAGCAACATTTGAGCAGCTACCTGGAGGAAGAAACCCCTATAGAGTTCCAAGGAGGTCGATCCCCTAAAGGGATCAACCCCAAGCTTAGAATCTGCAAGGGTTCTAACACGATGCTCCTCAAGTCTCCATGCTTGCTATTTGAGGAGGAGATGGGGAGAGGAGAATAGGATATAGCAACCAAAAAAGGCTCTAGCCTATGAACCATTGGTTCCCTCCTATTTATAGAGGTCCCTTGTCAACATAACCCTAATGGATCCTATCCTATTGAGTATTAGATCTCTATCCAACTACCCAAACCTCTTAGATTAGTGGATCTCTATCCAATAATCTCTCATTGGCTCTTATTGGATCTCATCCATAGGATCCAATAATTCATTTGCTTATTGGAAATTCAATAAGATAAGGGCTCGATATCTCATATCTGAACCTCTACTCATCACAATTCCTACCATATGTGTATGACCCTCTAGGCCCAATATTGTGCTAGCTATGAGACATACTTGTTAGAACTCCTTCTAGCTCTATGAATTATTATCTTCATAATAATTCACTCGACTCATCGATTGTGGACGTACTAGCCCACTACACCGCAATCCCCAAATGATATAAGGGAATCCAATCCATTGGATCTATCTGTCCTCAATTACCGTATACCTATAGTCCCTCATCCATCTAATATTCCAGAGACCATATGTCAGGCATAGTGCTGTTAGACCCATACAGTTTCTACTTGAGTCTCACTCTAATCGGATTCTCCCGGAAAACTCTTTCTCTCTAAATCCGAATGATCCTAGCCAAAGATTTATCTGAGCAAAAACATATGGGATATTCCTCTCATGATACCGAGAGTGGATGATCCTCTATCGACACTCAATAGTCCTCATAAGGTTAGCTACCACTCTCGATAACCGATTGTGTTAGATTTGGAACCTTCAGACCTTTAAGTCTGATATCAAAGAGTTGAGTACTCATACAGGATATCCTTGGTGTCTCAAGTCTAAGGACCAAATATACTACTGGGACTACGGAATCGCTATCTGACAATAAGGCATCTTCAACCATCCAGCTTTCCGTAAGCGGATCAATCAGTGAACTCATTCTTAAATAAGCACATGTATTATATCCCTGGTGTCCCCACATGAGTAGGTATGAGATCAGCTGCATCCATCATATGGATGGGTATATAGTACATCAGTCTATCCGGTTATCTCGAAGTCCCTCTCGAGTAACTTATGCCCGCGATTATTCAAAATCTGTGTTTAAAGGCGAATCGATCTCATTATTGTGATCTAATCACGATCCGATTCTTATTGCACAGATCTATGGATATCACAATATATTCAAAAAAAATATAATATAAAGTGATAAAATATCAAATAATAATAATAAGCAAAAAGACTACGTGTCAAGTGATACGTGTCATCACTCATGTGATTGGCTTACAAAGCACCTATGACTAGCAAGCCTCTTAGATTAGTGGGTCTCTATCCAATAATCTCTTATTAGCTCTTTTTAGATCTCATCTATGGGATCCAATAATTCAGGGACTTAATGGATATCCAATAAGATAGGAAATCCGACAGATATCTCATATTTCTAGCCATGAGTCATATCTGTCAAAACTCTTTTTGACTTAGTGAATTATTATTTTTATAATAATTCACTCGACTCATCGACTACGAACGTACTAGGTCACTATGTCATAGTCTCCAAATGATATAGGAGAATCCAATCCTTTGGACCTATTTGTCCTCAATTACCATATACCTATAGTCACTCATCTATCTAATATCCCAAAGACCGTATATCGAACATGGTGTTGTCATGCCCATACGATTTTTCTCAAGTCTCGCTCTAATCATATTCTCCTAGAGAACTCTTTCTTGCTCAATCTGAATGACCTTAGCAAAAGATTTGTCTAAAAGCAAGGACACGAGATATTCCTCTCATGATACCGAGAGTGAATGATATTTTATTGATACACAATGGCCCTTGTCAAATTGGTTGTCACTCCCGATAACTAATTGTACTAGATTTGAAACTTATAAACTTATAAGTCTAATATTAAAGAGTGGAGTACTCATAAAAGACATCCTTAGTGTCTCAAGTCTAAAGACCAAGTACATCACTAGGATAACAAAATTGTTGTATAACAATGAGATACCATCAACCATCCAGCATTGCATGAGCGGATCAATCAGTAAACTCATTCTCCAATAAGCACCTGCACAGTAACCCCTAGCGTCCCCAAACGAACAGCTATGAGACCAACGACCTCAATCATATGGACGGATATACAACACACCAGTATGTCCGATTATCTCAATATCCTTCTCGAATAACCTATGACCAACATTATTTAGGATTTATGTTTAAAGATAAATCGATCTCATTATCATGATTCAATTCCTATTACACAAATTCATAAACATCACAATATATTTATATAATAAATAATATAAAATAAAAAATATCATAATAATAATAAATAAAATAAAATATATATCATATCACACGTGTTATCACTCACGTGATTGACTTGTAGGGTATCTATAACTAGCTCCTATGATATCAAACCCTCCTTCAAAGTCTTAAATTGACGTTCTTATCAATTGATATGTCAAATATGAGAATTCTAAGCAACAAAATATTTCTGTTAAGATACAACAACTATGTAAAGACGACATCCCACCTGTCATTCTCTTTTTTTTCAACAACCACAAGTGACACAAAACAAAATGTATTTATCTAAGATAGCACATGAAAACACAACATTATTTGTCCCAAGTATTCCAATAAGTTCCTAAAAACACTTCCATGGCCATCGTACTTAAAGGATATTCCTATAAGCAATCAGAAAATAGAATGGGAACAGGAGTTATCAATCAACTATGAGACATTCGTTGAAGTCAAAGAAGACTAACATACTCCCTGTGCAAACGTTAGGGAACCTCTCTTTTAATATGCCAGTTAAATTGTATTCCTGCAACTTAATCATAATTGACGCCTGGATTATCAGTTTACATGTTCGGCAATATGAAGGCACAAAATAAGCTAAAAGGAAAATAACAACGTGGGTGTCATTAACATAAGAAAACCATAAATGGGCCTAAATACCATCCACATAACCTAGAGATATACTTCAGAAGTAGAGCAACTTGCCTTGGTGCTGGATCCAACTACATAATCTTGTCTTTGTTTGAGTGGAGAATAACTGGTGCTTAAATCTAGATAAAGAACAATGCAAATACAGATGAAACCTCCAAAAAATATCTTCTGAAAATTCCATAACATTCTATATGCAGAACACAACCATGTGAATCAGATCCATTTCAGAACACAACCACAAAATTATTTGTCAAAATGATTGAAAGCACAAGTAATCATCTGCATTAAATGTGGCTCATGAGAAGAGTCTTTAAATTTCAGAAAACGAGAAAGAATATCATGTGAATCAGATCCATTTCAGAAAACGAGAAAGCATATTATGTGAATCAGCATCCACTGCTCGTAAAATAATCATCTTTTCCAACAATCACCACTATGTTGTCGTGTGCTAGTCAGCTTTTATATCTCCCCACTAGCTCCGATGGGGAATTTTGCAGATAATTATCCACGATAACCCACAAGTAAATACAACCACCTTACCAGTACTCTTAGTCTGACACATCATTTATTAATTTAATTTAAAGCAGATCCTAACTTAAGTTATTGCCAATATCATTTCATTCCACTTCCTCTCTTCATTCTCTTCATCTGCCTTTGCCACCACCTTGTGTGTGTAGACGAGGTGGGAAAGTGGAGGATGACAGGTGGGGACAGTGTGTTGGCAGTAATAGTATGGGAAAGGAAGAGGCTGAATAGTACAAAAGATGGTGGAGGAGGTAGGTCATCACCAGAGGAGAAACTGCAATGTGCTGGATGAAGAAATGGCAGGATGTTGCAGCAGAGGTGGTGGAGAAAATTTGTTAAAAGATAAAGAAAAATAAGATATTCAAAAGATTTTCTTCTTTTGAACTTGCAATGGACTCTTTGAATGAAATGAAGCCAAGGTGTTGAGTTGTCAATATAAATAAGGGAGAGGCTTCATTTTAATCATGAGTTACCATGGGGGTCATGTACAAATTTTCCAGTCCTCTACTTCTTAGCAAGTCCATCAACATATCCAAACTATCCATGTCATTTTTCTCCTTGCAGAGTTCCAGGAGGTTTGTGATGTTTGTAGGTCTAGGCCTCCACCTGTGTACACCTTCAGATGATGCTGCTGCTTTTATACACAGGAGTGCCTCTGAAAGCCGCTTCTCCTTTGTATAGCCTTCTGCAAGGAACTCCCATGTGTTTGGTTTTGGCTTCCCACCTTTCTCTAGAAATCCATCAAGAACATCTTTTGCCTTACCAACTAGCCCTTCCTTGACGTATGAACTCATTAGGATGTTGCAGATCCTGGGATCATAGCTCGATGTGCTTGATAGCCACTCTTCATATATCACTTCAGCTCCATCCATATCTCCAAGTCGTATCAAAGAAGAAAGCATTGATTGGTAACCCAAATTTAGGATGCTAGGGAAGCTTGATTTGTACCAATTCCAAATTCGATAAACTTCTTCTCTCTTCCCAATATTTCCATAGAGGCCAATAAGATAATTAAAAGGTGTTCGGTCCCTGCCAGTCATTCTGATCTCAGCATCCTTTAAGCAACTCTCTGCCTTTTCAAAATTGCCAAGTCTAGTGTACATTGTAGCAAGTGTAGTGTATGTGGTCCAATTTGCATTTATATTGCTGTCAGAAGTCATTTCTCCTACCACTCGTTCCATCTCCTCTACATCTTCCATAGAAGCACAATTTGTTATCCATATATTATAGGTGTATATATCGAAAGTCACATTTTTCTCTTTCATTTCATTAATCAACATACCAACTTTCTCATGCTCTTCAACGTTCATGTAAAGAGTCATCATGACATTGAATGGAAGAGCATCACTTGCATAGCCTTTGCTTTTCATTGTCTCCATAATAGCCTCTGCCTTGTCTTCGATCTTTGCTTGGCCATAAACATTTAGAAGAGCGCCATATGTGCGCTTGTCCTTTAAGTTATCAGGAAGGTTTGAAAAGTGATCTTCAGCATGTGAAATGCCATGTACTTTAGCAATGAGATCCAACTGAATCGCCATGTCACTAGATGTAAGAGTAAATCGATCCCCTTGTGCAGCCATCCAGTTATAGACCTATTGAAATGAAAAGATGAAAGGTATGACTTATGAGTCTTCTGCAACAGACATGTCATGAAAAATATTCATATACGATTGGAGATGGATCAAACAAGTAGGCTCCATCAATTGGAAAATGGTGTTTCCACTATAAAAATCTTTCTCTAGATCCAGAGTTATCGAACACATCCAATTCTCAGCAAAAGAAGGAAACCAAATAACTAATCTTGACTCTAGAATATTCGGACAAATCCTTTAAACATCCAATCCATGAAAATTATACAAGAAACTACTAAAGCGAAAAACGAATGAGAATGAGAGCAACTACAGGTCTACATTTGCAAGAGCAGCATTACCAATCTTTAATTTTTTTTCCCATTATCATTAGCTACAGTATATGTGATACAATTCGCAAATCAATGACCTTAAAAATATTTGAACTACACTATATAATGCATCCTCCAAACTCAGCCATGTTAACAACGTCTCAGCAAGCAAATCATCAGAGTTAAAGTGAAGTAGTGAACCTTGTACTCCTTAGAGTCAATACAGAATCACCAATCAGAAGTTAGTCCTATGATTGATTAGAGTATCTATTACACTTATTGAATTCCCTCCTAGTTGCTACCATTACTAGTCATTACTGATTTTCACATGGTACAGGACCTAGCTGGTAGTGAATTACAAGTTAAATTGCAGACTTCTAGCCATCTACAAAATTTTCATCATGAACTGTCTTTCTTATTTACCCAAGAAATTAAGCTATCTAACCTAGTTAAAAATATAATTGATGAGGGAAGATGTCATTGACGTCTTGATCAGCCCGATGTGGTTCGGACCCGTATGTGTAGGATTGTCCAAGGTGGAAACACCGAGCTCCCGAGATGCCACCTGCATGAAGACCATAGTGGGTAGAGGTTTTCTAACTCAATTTCTCCGACGCCCAAGTTAGTAACACGAGGTGTACGAGTGCAGGCGCGAGTAGTCAAAAGAAGTAAGCTCCTCTTACTGATCGTAGTAAAGATGAGCTTTTATACCTGATCACAAAAGGGCAAAATAGTCCATGGAATATTCTGCCTCTAACCACTCCCAACGGTCCCCTCTTGGCCTCTTGCGGGGGGGGGGGATAGCCCTGAACTACTTGCCCTGGACCTATCTTGGACTCTTGTCCACGTGAGTAGCTGGGTGGATAGTGACCTGGATCTTTTCCTCCCACTGAGGACGCCATGTGGTGGTTACGTGTCAGATAATGATTAGCTGATAGTGTATTCCCTATCAATAATTAAGAAGAACAAGGAGAAAACAAAATAATTTTTACCATATATGTATTTATACTTCTACATTTAAATAAAACATGTGACCAAGTTTATCTGGATTTTTTAAAAGTTTCAAAAGATTATGTACTTTTAAATTATTAAGAAAAAACTTCTTGAGAAGATTTTGATTAACTTGGAAAATAGATTCTTTGATTATAGAGATGGATAAATAATTAAATTGATTCTTCATATGCAACATTAGTCATGCATAAATGATCAATGAAATTAATATAATGATCTTAGGCCATTTACACTGCATCACTAAATGATGAGAACAATTGTCGATGGTGCCTCTATCAACCCTACTTGGCCTTAGGCCATGTGTGTAGGAGTCTGAGAACATCCGAAGAGGGGGGTCTGGAGCTTGTCTACACGCCCGACAATGGACTTGCAAGAAGGCCAAGCTCGGGTGGGGTGCCCAATCCGGTCCCTTCTATGCTCAAGTTAGGGCCGAAGTGGGGAAAGAGCTCACGGGTGAACAGTAATTGACCTCTGTAATAGTAAAAGAGTGGGCTTATAATAGGTCGAGCCCAAGGGAATATTTTGTAATATGGGCCGAATATTCCCTTTTGGGCTTACCACTATTATTGAGCTAGGGTGGTCGTCATCGCATCTGAGTCCCACCATATGGCTAGCTGCGATTAGAGGGGAAGATTTCTCCCCATCATTGGAGGGGTAGATTGGAGAGGGGCACCTCAAGCGCATTTTCATGCTTAGCCCGAAGGGGGCATCTCGAGCGTATTTTTAGGCTTAACTCGAGGGGGGAACCTCGAACGCATTCTCATGCTTAGCCTGAGACAAGCGCCTCTAGTGCATTTTCATGCTTAACCGAGGTGGCGTTGAAACTCTCAACCCGAGGGGTTGGGAAGACCATCATATGGGGGTGGACCGCCTCGGGCCCAAAGGCTAGGTTTAACGATGACTCACCCAACCCGATCTTTGGAGTGGTTCAAGAATCCCACAAGATGTTGGGCAACTCTTCAGGACAAGTGCCTTTTGCGTCGGCCACCCGCCTCTTCAGACCCTCGAGTACGAACTGATTTGTCACCTTAGCCAAGTCGTTGGTCTGCGAATGGGCCACCAAACTGAACCGTAGCCAGATGCCGAAGGACCGACAAAAGGCCTTAAAGTTGTGATTGTTAAATTGCATCCCATTGTCAGTAATGATTGCCCTCGGGATGCCGAACCAAGTAATGATGTTCCTCCACACGAAACCCTCGACGTGCCTGTTTGTGATGGAGGCGAGCAGCTCAGCCTCTACCCATTTCGTGAAGTAGTCCACCCCAACTATGACAAGTCATTGTTGCCTAGAGGCCAAGGGAAAGGGTCAGGCATAGTCTATTAGGTTGAAACGCACCGCAAGCTAGTGCTAGATATGGGCATGTCTCTGGCACTTATCACATCTCTAAGCATAGGCAATTGCGTCCCTTCTCAACGTTGGCCAATAGTAACCTTGACATAGGACTTTAAAGGCGAGTGTTTGGCCACCAATGTGCTCCCCTCACATTTCCTCATGCACCTCAACCAAGACACACTCGGCTTCCCGAGCGAGGCACTTGAGGAGCGGCTGGCTAAAGGACCTACTATACAAACGGTCATTTATTACACAGTGCCACGCTTAATGGTACTTGACTCGCCTCACCGATGCTGGGTCGGTCAAGAGTACTTTGTTACTTTTGTACCACAAGATGTCCATCCAAGAGGGCTCGTCCTTAGTCTGAAAGACTTGCAAGATGTCAATGCTCCTCACTAGCAACGTTTCAACCAGCCATCACTCGTCCTTTACCGTCCAAGCTAAGGCGACTCCTGCTAGTGCATCAGCCCGAGCATTCTCCTCTCGAGGTACCTAAAAGATCTCAAACTTCACGAAATAGGGGATTGGCTTGCTTACCTCAATGAGGTATCTGGCCATCACCTTGTCTCAAGCTTCGAAGTCTCCTCGGACTTGATCCACGACTAGCTACAAGTCATTGTAAGCCACCAACTCTAAGATGCCTAGCTCCCTTGCCAAATTGAGCCTAGACAGAAGGGCCACATACCATGCCTCATTGTTGGATATCTTACCCGAAGCGCAAGACCTGCTCGTAGATTTATGCATCAGAACTCTTGAGCACAAGTCTAGCACCTCCCCCTTCTATTGTCAATTAATCTATCGACAAAGTGTCCACACGAATCGAACTTCCTCATCGACTT